AACATTATTTTTTTATTTTTCTGTAAAGAAACCCTTTTGAATTGTGAACCAGTCTTGTCTCTCTGTTTGGAGGATTTAATAATTGAGTTTTTATCTCAAACCAGAAGACACGGCTGTCTATTACTGTGCAAGAGACACAGTGAGAGGAAGTGAATCTGAAGCTTAGCAAAAACCTTCCATTCCTTAAAGCAGCCTGCAAGTCCTTTCAGCCTCAGAAGGCTGCATTTTTCTGTGAAACTAACTTCCAGAGGAAGAAAGAGATGGTGAGATAAAAACTCAATTATTAAATCCTGCAAACAGAGAGACAAGTCTGGTTCACAATTCAAAAGGGTTTCTTTACAGAAAAATAAAAAAAAATGTTTGCAAAGGCGGCCTCTTAGTCTCTTCCCAAATGGACTGATTACAAGGAGAGCAAAGAATAGCATTCAAACAATACCTTTTATACATTCTACTTCCAAGAAACTCTCCCCCTCTTGCTCATTTAAGTCATTTCTTTCATCATTCCATACTCTAAATGGTCAACTTGACAATTTCTTGAGAGGCCCCTGTCTCTTATTTGGTTTTTTCTGGTGCCTGAGCAGATGGCTTCCTATCTAACTTGTAAACGGCTTGGAATAACAAAGGTTATCTTGTCCTGTTTACTGAACACATTTTGTGGTTAGCAAAAGCATAGTTACATATTACACATTTTAGGCAAGAATATTATGGGTTATACATTAAACATGGTAAAAGAATACAAAAGCAACCTTTTAATATTTTATAAAAGTGTAACTTAATATCATTTCCTTCAAGATGATCTTGGAATCAGCAGCTCTCAAATTAAGAAAAAAACACTCATACAGATGTAGACACATCCTTTTTTAAATCATATTTTTTTCAAAGACACTTTTCTTTTTTGTTGGGAATATAGATATGATATAATTCTTATTGGGTGGTCATCTACTCTTATGTTGAGATTGGAAGAAAAGAAAGCAATCATTCCTTCCTTTAATTCATGTGTTTTAAATCCTCTTACGACTTATTTAACTGTTAAGAAAATCAATTTAAAATTTGTTCATCTCACGTGAGTGCAATATGCAGTTTTATAGAAAAGTGAAACTCTCCTTAAAGTCCTTCATGTGGTCTCCACTTCTTCTCCCCTCCTGGAACAGAAGAACCTGGAAATAAGAAGACAAAACTTTTGCCAGACCAATTCTTGAATATAGCTCATCTGCCTGGAATCCACACTGTATATCGGACATTAATAAAATCAAGCAAGTCCAAAGATATTTCACAAGAAGTGTCCTCCGCTTCTGTGCTCACAATAGAATAGCTTATGAGCCCAAAATTTTGGTTGCTAAGCAAGAACATTGTTAAGTGAGCTTCACCACATTTTACCCAATCCATGACGTCTCCTGGTGAGTGACATCAACTTGGCAACTCCCACCCAGTCACATGACTGTCAAGCCACTCCCACAAAAAAGGCCACACATACAGAATAGGTTCTAAAATTTATTGAAACCCACCACTGCTGATGCCTATTGATCTACTGCCATTTGCACTGTTTAGAACTGTTTTGGTGGACAGGAGCTGGGGCAAGTAATGGGAGCTCACCCCATCAGATTGCACTGGGGTCTCAAACCCGGACTACCAGCTTTCCACCTGAGTAAGCCTAAACTTTCTCCTATGTCTGTGATGGCAAACCTATGTCATGCGTGCCACATGTGGCCGGCAGAGCCCTCTCTGCAGGCATGCAAGCCGTCACACCAGCTCAATTCTGCTGTGCATGCACACGGGCC